TATATATTCTTACTTGAAATACTAACTTTTAACATTTGCCAAGACATTTCAGACCTTCAAACTATTTACGAATTTTATAGCATACAGATTCTTAATAAAAGGTTCTTGAGCAATTATTTGTGGGGGAAAAAGCATCAAAAGCACTGCACCATGACGTTCAATTAAATATGTTGCACTGGTCCCATTAAAACCGTGTATATGTTAGAATCACAAATACCTTCTTCAAGGGTCTCAGGAATTTTCATTCTAGCAAGATGAGACAGTAAAAGAACTCTGGCCTTCAAGCTATATGGGCAGGTAAGTGGAGGCTCATTCTTCTTTAAATTAATGCTGCCAATTTCTCTGATCAACTAAAGTAAATAAAATAGTTATTCAAAATATATACATAAAAAACACTTACTTCAGTAATTATTCAACAAGGAATTTGCGGGCTAGGGAGATAGCTCGGCAGTCTAAGTGCCTGCCTGGCAAGTGCAAGGACCTGAGTTGGATCCCTGGTGCTGCAAGCCGTGCCATCCAGTCACTGAAATCAGTTGTGGTGGGCATGTCTATAATCCCAGCACAGGGGAGGCTGAGACAGAAGGATCACTACAAATTGGAGCTGCATAGCAAGACCCTGTACCACAAAAAAAAAAAAAAAAATTGGGGGGAATTGACCTAACCTGTGGTATTAAAATATTATCTGTTGGCCTGCTCGTGGCATCTTTATTATACTGAGGATCAAATTCAGAAGCTCCAGCCAAAACCATGATGAGACCTACAGAAACAAAACAAAAGGTGGTTTATAAAATTTGATTTTCCGTCCTGACATACTGTACCTCCTTATCCTAAAGTGAAGCACAAGTGAGGCTATGTGGGATGCAACAAACAAAGCTCCAAGGGTGGAGCTCCCAAGTCCTTTGGGTACTCAACTTGTTACTACACACTTCCAATGCTGGATATGGAGCTACAGAACTTGACATTTGCTTTGCCGGGATTTGGTTTTGCTTTGGTGCTATTTCCCTATTTGTCTCTTCTGGAGTTTACACTATGGCACTGTACCTTAGGATTCCATGATTTTGGTTTTTACAGGTGTTCTTCAGCTAAAAATTTGCCTTGCATTTCAGAAGAGACTTGTACTTACACTTTGAATAATGGAATTACTGAGGTTTGGGAGAAGGGATAACATTTTCATTTGTATACAAGATAGATACAAGATAGTTACTGTATTAGGCAGAATTACTAACTTATGCTTCTTTGGGAATTAAGTATGGTTTAAGGAAATATATTGAGTATCAAGTTGACAACAGTGAGATGTGACAGTAAGGCTTAACTGTCAACTTGACAACTGCACAGATTAGTAAAGCACACTTCTCGGGTGGTCACGGAGGATTACTATGTATGAGCCCTGGCCCTCTCTGGCACTTTTTCCCTGCTGTGCTTCCCAGTCATCACAAACTAAGCATCTATGCCTTCTGCCATGTTGTTTCTGCCGTGGAGCCAATTGATCAGGGACAGAATGCCCTAAAAGCATGAGCCGAATTAAGCCTCTCTTGTAAATTGTAGGTGTTGGATACTATGTCTAAGCAATAAGAAGTTAGTAACAAGTCTTTTTCTTATTACTAACACAATCAGTAAAACTGGCAAATCCCAAGTACAACTATGTCCATTTCCATTTCAGAAAAAAAAAAAAAAATTAAGTTTCCAGTATAAAAATTTTAAATTTAGGTTTTTTGTTTCTTTAAGAAGCAAGAGTATTTATGATTTAGCATAGCAGTCATTCTACAACACAAAACATACTCTGGGATAAACTGTACAAGTTGAACAGATGGGATCACAGAAATTATTTATGTGTTCCCCCCCCCATGCCTCGAGAAATGTTTAAAAAGCCCCTGGGAATGGGGCTTTCTTTCAACATATCCAACACTTCTTACAAAATTTAATACAATAAAATACAGTGGTTTAGGAGTTGGGAAACAGTGCCTGGGTTCAAACTTGGCTCTATCATTTACTATGTAGTCTTAAACATGTTAATTTTTCCCACCCTTAGTTTCCTCATCTATAAAACGTACTTAAAAACAGCATTTACTTATGGAGACAATCGTAAGGATGAAATAAAATACTACATAGACAGTCCTTAGAAATACCAGAAATACTGGGGCAAAGAGATTTACCTATGCATGTAAGGAGAATGTTTTGGTTAACTGTACTGTGTATTTCTGCTGGTCTATGGAAAGAAGCAGTTAATGCTTTAATTAGATTCATCTCCGTTTTTCAATTGTTTGTACTTTTTCTCTTCTTAGTTTCTTATACATTTCTTTTTTTCTTTCCTCTAACTTTACATGCATATATCTGATAATATGAGTAACTGGTTGGAATACAACACTATGTATTACAACAAATACTGTGAAATTCATATTACTTTAAGTGAAATTCTGTATCACTTGTTATTCTGTTTTAATTCTAATTTGTACTCTTTAAAAAAATTTTAAATACCAGAATACAATAAATTACAGGATTTTATTTTTAGGTGGGGGCCGCTCAGGATGCCTTCAGGGCAGGTCTGATTTGGCTTGAGCATGAGGGCATCGAACCACAGCATCCTGAGCCTGACTGCTTTTTTTCAGCAAGCACGTAAACATAATAAATTATAAATATTGACTAATATTATAAAATTTGTACATATGAAAATCTGCCATAAAGTTTCTATTAATCTATATAACTCACTAAGCAGGACTACTGTAAATATAAATTAGGAAATATGATAAAAGGTATAAGCATTTTCCCCCAGCATTAGTTATAGGAATTGATCTGTTGTGAAATTGTAAAATGGCATTCTTCCAGTACAGTTAGGAAATAGATATCAACTCCATATAAAATAAATAAAGGGTCAGGGAGATAGCACAATGGTCTAGCACGTGCCTGGCAAGTGCAAGGACCTGGGTTCAATCCCCGATACCACATGGATCATTGTGCGTGTGAGCTGTATGGCAAGACCCTGTACCAGATAGATAGATAAATAGATAAATAAGTGACTAAAAATAATAAAATAATGAAACTAATATAACACAATTACTTAAGTATACTTACGTTTCATGTCCATATTTCGGGTTTTATAAACAAAATATGTATAAATTTGTGTTGTACGTATTAAAATCTGGTCTCCACTATAGCGTATTGAGCGATACCACCAAGAACCCTAAAACACAAATAAGATTAACAAGAAATAAAACATGAAAAATACATTTCTGGGCAAATTTTCTAAATATTCATAAACCAGCAAAAACATCTAAGCTTTATTTACAGTACAGTACTTTTTGCTGTATATTTCAAATGATTTATTTAACAAGTACATATATTGCCTTAAGTATAAACACCAAGCTCAATTATTTCATATATATGATTAAAGAATGTAAGTTTCAGGTAGAAACTATTTAAACATAATAAGAACATCCAGTGCTATGAATAATCTGGTTCCTAACACACAGCAATTTTTTTTGGTTTTTATTTTCCCAGGTGCTTTTTTTTTTGTTTTTGCTGTTGTTCTTCGTAGGTCTAGGGTTGAACCCAGGACCTTTGTACTGTCACATTCCCAGCACTTCTTTTTCATATTGATTTTTTTTATAAATGTATTTGATACAGAGTTTCATTATGCAGCTCAGACTCATAGTGATCTTCCTGTTTTTAGCCTCCCCAGCTGGGATTACAGGTGTGTGCCACCACGCCCAGATGCGGCTGCTGGTTTAGCTAGCTTGAGGGCAGGGCTGGCGTGACATACAGTACCAGGGATCAAACCATGGTCCCTGTACTTGCCTAAGCAGGCACTTAGTCTGCTGAGCTATCTAATTGGCCCTATTTTTTATATTGAGACAGTCTGGTTAAGTTGCCTAGGTTGGGCTTGAATTTATTATCCTCCTGGCTCAGCCTCCTGAGCACCTGCGATAACAGGCATGAATCACTACTCCCAGCTCACACAGTACATTTCTGATAAATTTTTTATAAATAAATGGATCTACCTTTGCACCTGACGTAATACTTTCATTCACATTAATTCATACAATTAGGTCTCAGATAACAATCCTATGTAGGGGATAGTACAGGTTAATTATTAGCTTCACACTCTGGGATCCAGATAAATTCCAGGATCAAAAAAAACAGAGTAAGTGACAAGATCATAAATTTTACAGCATTTCCACATAACACTATATAACACATTATTTTTTATAATTGTTTATATTTATGTGCATAAACACACAGGAAAAAATTAGCAGTGATTACCTCTAAAAGAAACTGAGAGATAAAAAGAACAATTTCATTTTAAATTCTAAGCACATCTGTACTATCTTAGTTGCATGCAACTTTTTGAATGGAAAAGATGTTTTTGCACACTCAAGTAATGTAACCTTATGAAGATCTTGCAAGTACAGCAAAGTATAAGATTTTTCAATTCAAACATTAATAGATTATATTGCAACACAAATTGAAACTTACAGGGAGACTTCAAATATGTCTTCAAAAAAATCTGATAGAAAGAGCTAGGACTTACCACAACAACTGGAAGGATAACCATAAATGCCAAACCATATACAAACAAAACCTAGAATTGAAGAGAAAAAGAAATATAGCCTTTATCAGGCAAATTATAATGACATTCATGAACACTTATTTTGAAGAAAGATTACAAGATTACAAGCACTATTAAAAGCACTCTATGTATAACCTTTAATTTTTATTATCAAACTCTGAGAAAGGTACTATTATGACTTCTCTGTAGATACACCACCAATAGTAAAATAGGTTACACAGACAGTCCTAGGTTCACACAGCTACTGACAGAGCTAGGATTTAACCTCTAAAGTCCATATACTCTTATAAATTACCTATTAATTTGCTATTTACTGATACAATAGATATAATAATAAAACATTTTGTTATGTTTCCTTTCCTGTGAGTACTTCATTAATATGTACCCTGTAAGTACAATTACCTTCTAAGTGTCCCAGAAATCAATTATATAAGGAGCCCTGTCTTTCACTCAGAGTAACCCTAAGTATGATGAATACGCTCATAGCAATCAACAATAAGCTCCTGAAAATGACCCCAATTTTAATATACCATAAAGTATTCATTTTCATAACCAACTACAGAGTATGTGGATTCTGTTTCTACTGCTTCAAAGACAGTCTAAGATAATAATGTCAAGAAAGTTCATATAGGGAATCATGTATTCCTAAACACAGATTAAGAAAATGCCTGATGTTTTAGGACTGCATCAATTATCACTGACTTAAATCTGATGTTCTACTGCCCCTGAATTACCAAACAAAATACGTAACATTTAACACACACTGAATTAGTTTTGTTGGGGTTTGTTTTGTTTTGTTTCGGTTTTTTTGTTTGTTTGTATTTTTAGGGAAGGGTCTACAGGTGTTCAGGGTCTCACTACTAGATTAGACTTGTAGTGATCCACCTGTTTAAAGCCTCCCAAGAGCTGGGATTACAAGCATATGCCACCACACCCAGTCTCAATTACTGTCTCAGCACACCCCGGGGGGGGGGGGGGGGCATGGCACGCCAGGGATCGAACCCCCGGCCCCTGCACCTGCTTTCAGGCACTTTAATCTGCTAAGCTATTTGGCCGGCCCTGCAATGAATTAGTTTAGCCTAAGTAAAACTGAAAGAAAGGACAAGATAAATTTTTTTTTTAATTTTATTTATTTATTTATTTGAGAGAGAGAGAGAGAGAGAGAGAGAGAGAGAGAGAGAGAGAGAGAGGCGCCAGCTCAGCCCACCAGGGGGCAGGGCTGGCCGGCATGTGGCGCTGGGGGATTGAACCGCGGTCCCTGATGCTTTTGCTAAGCTTGTTCTAAATAGGTGCTTTAGACCACTGAGCCATCTCTCCAGCCCAGGACAAGATAAATTTTGAATAATGCTTAGGATAAATGTGGCTATCATAAAAATTGGTAGCTCTCCAAATCAAAAGGCTCAATACAAAAACAATTTTAACGACAATAAAAAAATTACCATATCTTTAAAGTTTCAAATCTTGTAGAAGTCAGAACCCCAAATCACTAGCCTAATACTGTTAACCAATGTATTTTGCTACTTTATGAAAATAGCTTTCACAATACAAAGTTAAAAATGATGCTCCCTGGGGGCCTGGCCCTAGCTCAGGCCTTTAAGTGGCTGCTTCCACAAAGCTGTCAGCCTCAGGTTGCTGGAGTTCGAACCTCACACCTCTCCAGCTGGCCAAAAGTGCCCTGAAGGCATTTGAGGAAAAAAAAAAAAAAAAAAAATGATGCTCCCTTTGGCAGCACACATACAAAGTTAAAAAACATTGTTACAATATTTTCCTTGTTATAGTTCTCTTTATATTACACCAAGACACATACCACATAATGAAAATTATGGCGAACACATTACAATATACCTTACTTAAATGTACTCACCAAAATTGAATTTTTCTGGTCAACTATCCATGCTGGCAGGGCAATTCCAAAACTTGTGGCTGAAATAGTAATAATATCACAGTTTGAGTCTCTACTTCTATTTGTATCTTAAAAGTCTCTACTCTCTTCCCTATCCAAAAGCCCTCAAGATTATACTACATGGATCCTCACTATACAAACACTAAGGTTTATTTTATATATAATTCAATTTTTTCTTCCTAAAATACTTAAATTCTTTTATATGTCCTGAGTTTAAATAATGTGTGAAGTCAGTGTCTTAGTTATAATTCTCACATTGATGAGACAAAAATATCCAACCCTAAAGTTAAAGGAGGAATGGTGTATTCAGTTCACAATATGTAGACATTTCAGTCCATAACCAGCTGGCTCCATGGCAGAAGGGCAATAGTTCAAGGCAACAGAAGACAGCAAAAGCAACAAAGGGGAGAGTAAAATGCAGACAAACTTTCTGCCAAGCCATGACACACATTGTTTGGAGTCCAACGGCCAATGCAGTCCTTTCAGCAGAAACCTCCCAAGCCTGGTCTGCATTAGCAATCTCTCTCTCTCTCTCTTTTTTTTTTTTTTTTTTTTGGTGGCACCAGAGATCGAACTCAGGACCTTGTAGGCACTTACGCCCCTGAGCTATATCCCTGGCCCCTAAGCAAGATTTGAATTAGACTTGTGGTCTTCTGAACTCTGACCAGAATCTCCCACATAGTACAGCCAAAGGTGTGCCAGCTCTACCTTTTTGACTGTCATCTCCAAATCACTCCAAACTCTTCCCACAAGCCATTACCAAAGGTTCCAGAACCACATGATCAAATATGGTCACAAAATAATTTCACTTCTAGCATCAAATTCTGTCTTGGTTACTTTTCTCTCATTGCTGAGACAAAACACCCAATACTCAAAGTTAAGGCTCCAACACACAGTGGCACAGGGCAGAGGGGAAACAGCTTATGGTGGCGGAAAACAGCAAAAACAAGAGAGAGAAGGGACTCTTTCTGCCCCTTGTACTATACGCAGGCTACCTGACCTAGACCAAGTATCACACCCACTCCTTAATCCCAACATTGGACCATGAATTAATCACAAACTCTAGATTCAGCCACCTCTGAAGAGCCAGCCCCCCTTGACTACATGAGACTTTGGGGAGACATCTAGACACAAACCACAGCAGTAACATTTTTTTCATATAATTTTTATCTACTGAAATGTTTAATAATGATATTGATTGCTTTTCTCTCTAAACTTTATCTCTCAAAATAGTCTTTAGAAAGAAAAATAAGGAGTCAGGGATATAGCTCAGCAGCACAGCATCTGCCTGACAAGTGTGATGTTGTAAATTTGGCTCCCAGTACCCCCACCAAAAAAAAGATACCAAAAAAGAAATGAAGTATAAATTTAAATAAGCTCAATTTATGTTTAATTCTTTGTAACTGTGATTTTTCTTTTCCTTCTTTTTTTTCATACTGGAGATGAAACTCAGGACGTTGTGCTTGCTAGGCAGTCACTGATACCACTGAGCTATTTCCCCAGCCCTAACTTTTCTATTCATGAAAGAAAATTAAAGTATTTCCTTAATCTGTCAACATTTTCATTAGATATACCACATGATCAATATTTTACAATTGGGCTGGTGAGATGGCTCAGTGGTCTAAAGCACCTACTTAGAACAAGCTCAGCAAAGCACAGGGACCGCGATTCAATCCCCCAGCACCACATGCCAGCCAGCCCCGCTCCCTGGTGGGCTGAGCTGGCCACACACACACACACACACACAAATTAATTAATTAATTAATTAAATTTTAGAAAATAATAAAACTTTAAAATGTTTAAAAAAAAATGTTTTACAATCATCATTTACCTTGAGGCCCATCTGGATTTCCAAATTCTTCCCAATTTTTCCGGGACTCTTCATCTGTTAAACTAGCATAAAAAGAACAAAGCTATAAAATCAACAAGCCACATCTAAAAAACATGTCCCTGGATATACCAACTTACTTCTTTTTTTTTTTTTTTTTTGTTCCAAATGCCTTCAGGGCAGGTTTGGCTGGCTTGAGTTGTGGGGATTGAACCACAGCAACCTGAGCCTGACTGCTTTGTTGAAGCAGCTACTTAAAGAACTGAGCTAAGGGGCAGGCCCCCACCAACTTACTTCTTAGAAAATACTAACTTAGAAAATGAAGTAACATTTGAAAAGAGAAGAAGCGTGAAAGTGTAGAGCAAGAAACACTGTACCAACAGAAAATGCTAACTACTGGCCCTGATACAAATTCCTCATTGACCTGCAAGTTCCAAAGTTTAGCTAGTTCAAGTGAGATGAAATTTAAAGGCCATGACATTTTCTGAGACGGCAAAGAGAGTTATACATTTTTCCTTTTCCATTTTTGTGTATTTACATTTTAATAATAATTGACACATTTTTAAAAATATGAATAATGCATAATGGTAGCTTCCCTCAAACACTGGCACATTTTCAAAGAAACAAATGAATACCACCTGTAAAACTCCATTACTTTGGAAAGGTCATTAGTATTATGATAAGATCATAATTTTCTCCTAAGCCAACTTGCAGGTAAAACTAGAAAAATACAGGGGCTGGGGAGATGGCTCAGTGGAATAAGCGCTACCCTGGCAAGCACAAGGGCCTGAGTTCAATCCCCGGTTCTGCCAAAAAAAAAAACTAGAAAAATACTCCTAAACAACAGCTTCACGGCAAAGTCAAGATGAACGCAACAGTGATTTTTAGATGTCTAAATATTGTAATGGCTAAAGACAGTCAAATGGCTTTATTTCAGATTCCAATGTAGATATTAAAAAGCATAGAGAAATAATCAGTTCCTTCAAAGACTTTACAAAGTAGTTAAAGAAGTCATGGTAAACCCCCAGAAGTTGACCAATAATAAAGAAAGCATTCTTGTAAAACTGGCAAAGGTTCTGTTTATGTTCAAATATAATTTTAACCATATTTCTATTCCCAGATCTTAAAAAGCCACACAATTCCTGTTCAACATAGATTCAAGTTGAGAGACACATGGAGAAATACTTTTATAAAACAGCAAAGAGTGTGCTTACTTTTCAGTCATTTATTTTTAAACATCAAATTGGTCATTCATGAAAACTAGTGCCTTAACATTTTTAGTCCTTATTTAACTATAAATCCCCTTCTATTTGATGCAAAACTATAATAAAATATAGGAGCCACTGATAAGCATTTCGTTCCAAGTTAACAGTAGTGCTAAGATATCTTTTCAGTTGAGACGGACATTTCTCAAAATACTTGTTTTCCTTGTCAAACCCAGAGATTTTGCTATTTCGCTGCATATTCTATTTCTCAATCCAACCTTTCTCCTGAAAATAGTTCTCTGTTCCCTTCTGCCTTTCTAATAACAGCAACAATGAACTGGCTTTCTGTACAATAGCTTCAGATTCTGCAAAATAAAGTACTGTAGACATCATAAAAACACTTCTAATTTGCTGGAATGACATTAACTCCATTAAAATGACCTTGTACAACTGGTACATGTCAGAGACCATATTAACCAAATGAAGGAATTTGGTTTCAACTTTAATCAAATTGAAGGAATCAACAATTTTTTTAAAAGTAAATTTAAGAAAGCAAATGAAATTTTGCTGCTTTTCAGTGCTTCACTCCCATTCCTAAGGATTAATGTAACTTCCCACACCCTTTCCACGCCCCCGTAATAGTGTGCTCCTATGTCCTGGCTGATGCTCTTAAGAGCATCCACCATGCTGAAAAGAGAAACAAATGCCAGTTATTAGGCCATATTCCCAAGTCATAATCTAGTTTCTAACTGATGATGAAGCATCACTATACTGGTGAATTTATATCACTGATGATCACGGGGCTGGAAAAAATTACTCTGAGCCTCACAAGCAAGTTAAGCAAATGTGAAGCAATCACTGCTAGATTCAAAGTATAACTCAAAGATCAAGAAACAGCAAAAGATCTGCTACCATTCCACTAGTTTGTTTTCACTGCACTGACGATTTCAGCTGACACCACATACCACAAAAAAGCAAGATTTAGAAACACAGGAAGGCAAACACTGAAATTTGGTTTTTAGGGGTGTGATGCATACAAATGATAAAATGCCTCAATATATAAAAAGTAAAAAATAGAATTCAAACTATATACAATCTATATGATTTCAGTATAGTTAATATAGCAAACTTAAAATCAGTTATATAATAACTTTTAAAAATTCAACAATACTCTGCATCAACTCTAACAAGGAAAATATGATGTACCAAGTTCTGAAAAGATTCTTAAGTTTCCAAGCAATAAAAAAGGAGAATTAAAAAAACCCATGCCTCAACAAGCACAATATTTAACAATAAAATAACTAGAAATGTATCACAATGAAATAAAACTAAAGTATAAAACTAAATTTGCCTTCCAATAGTTCAAATGAGACAACTGCATTGCCAAAACAAGAGACACAGATCTAGCTTAATAAAAAGTTTTAAAATGAAAACAAAGTTGCATATACTTTCTTCTATTCAAGATGCTTAGAAAATTTCAATCAAAATGTCATCACTTAGTATTTAATTTAACTAAGGTCACATGGTAAAATCCTTACCCTAAGTGCCAACTCTAAGTTTCTTAAAAGTTAGGGTTTAATTAAATTACAATTTTAGGACTGCTGAGAAGCTCCATAAATGATAGGCTCAAATATATCAAGCTAGCATTTAATTTTTTAAAAATGGCACCTAACTGATTAAAACAGAAAACTATCTTTATCTCTCTTTAAAATGTGTAATGGGATGTGGGTTTTTAATCTAATGGAGTACTACTCAGCCATAAAGAAGGATAAATGAGATTATTTCTAGGTAAATGGATGCACCTTGAGACCACATTCAAGTGAAATAAATCACACATACATGTAAATACTGCATTGTTTCTCTGGTGTGAGAAACTAAAAGTGTAAATAAGAATCAAAATGTATAACAGATTGTGAAATAGAAGAAAATGTTCATATGGAAAGGGAAACTAGGGAGGTGGGAGGGGAAAAGGAAGGAAGGGAAAAGAAAAAACAAGACAGAAGAAAAATATGGAAACTAAGTTTTTATAAATACGGAAGGACAGAGGAATTGAAAGAAGAGTGGGGAATAGGAAAAAAAAAAAAAGGATCAAGTTGTATCATGGACAGGTACAAACTCCCTACAATGAATGTGATCATCATGTATACCTAAAATGTACCAATAAGCTTACAAAAAAAAAAAAAAAAGAACTGGAAAAAAAATGTATAATAGGCTCTACAACACTTACGCTGCATAGGCTTTTGCTATCCTCATGAACATAACTTCATCACCTCCTTTATCTGGATGATATTTAAGTGAGAGCAAACGATACTGTTTCTTAATTTCTGCTACAGTTGCTCCCTTAAAAGCAAAAACAAAAAAACTTTTTGTTAGTAAAAATAAGCACAATGTTAAAAAAAATACATACTATTTTGAACCTATGAACACGACTACTCAGTATTCTGAAAAAAGAATTTATTTCATTCTATAAATTTTGTTCCATAAATTTTATCCTATATATTTTTAAATAAAAACATACTTACTTGGTCCTATATATTTATTTTACTGATCACCTACAGTGTTTCATGTAGTATATTAGGCACTGATGATTTGAGAATAAAACCACATACTACCAAATTTAAATAAAACACAAATATATTAATATTCAAATCCAAAGATGATCACTGTAATTAATTTTTTTTTTATTTGTGTGTGTGTGTGTGTGTGTGTGTGTGTGTGTGTGTGTGTATGTGGCCAGCTCAGCCCACCAGGGGGCGGGGCTGGCTGGCATGTGGTGCTGGGGGATTGAACTGCGGTCCCTGTGCTTTGCTAAGCTTGTTCTAAGTAGGTGCTTTAGACCACTGAGACATCTCACCAGCCCATGATTACTGTAATTAAGACTGACACAAAGAAACTCAAATCAAGAGCTAATTTCTCTTATGACTTATAGAGTACTTGGTTTCAAATACTTACTAATATTTCAATATTAAGTAAACATTTAGTAAATGGGCCTGTTTCCTAAGCAGTCTCAATATATACCAATAATTTTCCATATAATTTTTCTTGCCCCAAACCTTTTAATCTTAAACTTCTGATTGCCATAATCATCACAAGAAAATACAAGACTATGCAAACTTTCTTCTACAAAGCAGAAAGCTAGAAGATGATCACACTTCTTGCTTTGTATGGCTCTCTGGATCAAGCCATCGATTAAGCAAACAAGAAGTTAAAAACAAAAACAAAATAAACAAAAACAAAAGATGCTAGATTCAATTTGACCACTAAAAACATACAGGACCCCAGACAAAACACAAGTTTTTAGGCCTCATTTTCTCTTTCTGAAAAAAAGCTACATGGTTTCTACTATTAATTTCAGTTTTAATGTCCTTTAAAAAAAAAAAATATATATATACAGGGTCTTGCTATGCAGCTCAGACTCGTAGTAATCTTGTCTCAACATCCCCAGTGCTGGGATTACAGGCATATACCACCATGCCTGGTTTCAGTGGGCCAACATGATGTGCCTTGGATCTGGGGGCCAGAATGGCATGCAGTACTGGGGATCAAACTCTGATCTTTAGGGCTGGGGAGATGGCTCAGTGGAGTAAGCACTTCCCTGGCAAGCATAAGGGCCTGAGTTCAATCCCTGGATCCACCAAAAAAAAAAAAAAAGTTCTGATCTTTGCACTTGCTAGGCAGGCACTTAGACCACCAAGTTATCTCCCTAGTCCTTTTTTTTTTTTTTTTTGAGACAGGGTCTCACTGTGTAGTACAGGCTGGTCTTGAACTTACAGCAATTCTCCTGCCTCATCCTCCCAACTGCTGGGATTACAGGCATGTGCCACTATGCCCAGGCTCAGTTCTAATGATACCCAAAAGACTAATTTTCTGTGGAAACTTGTCAGTCAAGTTCAATCAAGAACCTAGGGTGCATACACAATGTTAACTTGAATTTCTCTGATGACATCATTTCCTTATAGGCTCTTCAACCCAGCCTTCACAAATTGGCAAAAAAAAAAAAAAAAAAAAAATCAATCAACACAAGTTGGTATCATCTGTATCATTCTAACACAACCTTCCAATTTTTAACTTTTACTTTAAACCAGTCTCACAGATGTCTTTTTAACTTCTTACCTTTAAATATTTTTACATATTAGCAAATCTAAGTTAGTCCTTAATAATATCGCAATCAAAAGCTGAGGCTTTGAAAAAGCATACACTAGAATGATAGTGATATAATATTTCATTTTAATAAAAAACTGACCAAGTTCTGTCTTTAGGTATGGCCCAATTTCTTTTAGACATGGCTTTAACAGTATTATATAAAACTACTTACAGGATCCAAATTTAATACTTCATAAGGATTGTATTCTTGATATTCTCGGTCTGTTTTGGAAACTTTGTATACAAGGAATAAGAACAACGCCCATCCTGCAATCAGAACTATTTTTCTGTTAGGAAAAAGATAAATGATGTACAAATAAATACATAGAAATGAATTTCCTGTGAGTTTAATCTAATGACATATGTCAAGGTCAAGGCATAAAACAATTGAAAGCAGTTCCATATCACTATGCAAGTCAGTCAACTTTCACAACTGCTGGTATTTAAACTCCTGTTACAAGGACAACACCTTTTTCATCTTTAATTCTCTAGAATCTAGTAATTTCTGCCATATAATATATTTTCTCAGTTACTATTTGTAGAATTTCAAGTAAAAAAGTTAATTCAACTTATTAATTTATTGGACTCATTAAATTACATCAAAAATTATCTTACTGAAAGTATAATTGCTGGTGCAAGGGCAATTTTATTAATAAAAATAACTGGTCAATTGTGCAAAGATGAATAAACAGCCTTGCTGATAACAGTAAAGCTTTGGAGACAGCCTAATCTCCACTTATAGGGAACTAAGTGAATAAACCTATAGAGGAAACTAAGTAAATAAACCATGATGCAGCTACACAATGGAATAAAATATTTACTCAATACAGATATAGAAAGATGCACATTCATTAAAAATATAGAGGGACATATAATTTGAAAAGAAAACTAATTACTTCTCTTTAATGTATTCTGTTTAATAAACAGATTTTTAAAAGAGATGCTGAAGTCAGTTTTGGAGAGGTTAAAGAAAAAAGAAACACATATTCTGAACACTACCTGTCAATAAGGTATTGGAAACCCTAAAAAAGAACATACCCTTTCTATCTGTAACTTATTCTACTTCAAAAAACTTAGAAGGAAATAAGCTAGAATTTGGTATGTATGATATATAAGAGGGTAGCTGTGATATAAAGAAACAAATTGGTAGAACAATACAGTAACAGTAAAACAAACTGGTAGAAAAATACAGTAAAATAAGTTCTGGCAACGAAAGTAAAATTTGCTGAGTTAAATGTAAGAGAAAACGGCAGTCAAACTCTGTAAGCTAAATTTCTGTAAATAAAATAGTACAGTAAAAATAAATATATAAAATAATCGTATCAGTAGTTATCGTTAGGTGATGAAATAAAATGACTGTTTCATTTCTCTGTTACAAATGATTGTAGCAGAGCAATTTGTTATAATGAACAGGATCTGTTAAACAAAAAATTAATCACAGGAGACAGACTGACCTGTCTTTCAAACTGGAAAAGTTTTCCCAATGTCACATTTTATAAGAACCTAGCTTAAAGTGCATTCATCACCTAGAATGAGCCTCTCAATCCGGAATCATAGGAAATGATAAATTCTAACACCTGCTTACCTTAATCATCCTGATTTTTAAACAAAAAATCCCCATTTTACCAGTTGATAGAGACCATTATGAAGCAGCTCTGAGCAGGATTTTAATTAACCAAATGGGAGCAAAGTGTGTTGCACACACCTGTGAGGCAGAAGGGTCACAGGTAGCCTGGGCTACAATGTGAGCTCAAGACCAGTCTGAACTGCACAGTGTCTCAAAAAGACAAAAACTAAAAATAAAAAATAACCAACTGGCTTCCATGATTACTTGTGAGTCTGTGTCAGGCCCAGGCTCCTCGTTTGGAGAAGGCAGCAGACTCATAGTAAGTGAAACCCTGTGAGTCACTGGTCCCAGCTGAAACATGTAGTGGCCTGTGATCCCCTGATGCATCAAAGGCTAAGTTAAGGACACCTGACTCCAACCTCAATTAACTACACAGACTATAGCCATAAGCATCTTACTCTTGGGTGAAGGTCTTCCTGAAGATAACATAGTTGCCCTGCACTGACATAATCTGTGACTTGGAGAAATTCTTGAACTGACCCCAAGGTCCTGCTCAGATTCTCACACCTTCTTCAGTATTTTCCTCCCTTGTTTGAAAACCAAATAAATGTGTGCCACTCAGAGGAGTTCTTTGTCCCAGCTCCCAGAGAATTTCAAATTCTGCTAGAGCTTTTTTGCTCTGTTTTGTTTTTTGTTTTATTTTCTGCTAGAGGTTTTAATCCTCCTGGAGCCCTAAAATTATAACACTTGTTTCTTTTATTTAAACCTTTGCCATCCACTCGTTGGGAGGTTGCAGACCTGATCAGTCCACGATACCCAGTCTTTTCTAAACTTCCCCAACCATTATGCTTTTAGACTCCTATCTTTCTACCAAAATTTCCTATTCTCCCTCTCTCTACCTACCCCAATTCTATCCATGGTGACACACACCTGTAATCCCAGCATTTGGGACGCTGAGGAAGAGTACTGTGGATTTAAGGCCAGCCTGGGTAAGTGAGTTCAGGCCAGCCTTACCTATAGTGTGAGATCCTGTCTCAAAAATACCAAACTACATAAATAAGTAAAATAGAATTTTTTTCCTTTATGAGAAAATTCAAAAGGTAAACAAGGAACATAATGGAATATCGACAGCAATATGGAAGAAGAACATGTTCAAATAGGAAAAGGAACAAAGGAGAACAGAGGGTAAAGGGAAGGAAATAAAAGGAAAATAAGAGTAGAAGAAAAAAAATTGAAACAAAGTGTTTGTAAATTGGGAAAGGAAAATGGGTTGAAGGTGGAGGAGAGGAACAGGGGAAAAAAGAAGATATATTATGTACAAGTATAAATTCCCTCTGGTCACTATATATGAGAAATATGTACCGATACAAAATATAAAGTTAAAAAATGACAACACATATGATCTACCTCCAAGAAGCAATCCTTAACTTTCACCTAGATGTTCAACAGGAGATGTAATTACAGCCACAAAGAAACATAAACCAGAACTTTTCTCTCCTGACGCACTTGGAGTGTCCTGGGTACTGAATGGTAAAAACTACCATAACCACTAAACCATGCTCTTTAATTTCTGAGAGCCAAAGCAAAAGTGAAAAACATAATAGATTACATCATGCTCTGTGTCAGATTTTCTCAAACCATATTTGGCTCCCCAAAAAAAGGCATTTTCCTGACACATAGCTTCACGAATTACTATCTTGTGAACTGCATTTCTTTTGTAAGCATATGTTATATGTCATTTTGGAAACAACTTCCAAAGGTTACAAACCTTAGTTTCAGGAAAGTTTTGAAAAGAGAAGCATTACACAATGTTTAATTTTCAAAGTATGCTTCAGAATTAAGTAGCCAACATTCTTTTCGATAGTTTCTATCCTTATCTAAATTGTTACTGGAATCTACTTCTTTAATCTACACTTTGATTTAAGCAAATGAGTTCATTAATCACTTTTTTAAAAATTTCGGAAGTGTTTTGGTCTTTTTTTCCTGAAAACTGAGATTTATATGCCAAAAAGTACTAAACAAAACTAGAAAAAGGAGGATTGGCAGATTTAAAAAATATTGTCCTGATGTTTCACAAAAGTTTAATTTTTAAGGGCTGGTGAGATGGCTCAGTGGTCTAAAGCACCTACTTAGAACAAGCTTAGCAAAGCATAGGGACCACGGTTCAATCCCCCAGCACCACATGCCAGCCAGCCCCGCCCCCTGGTGGGCTGAGCTGGCCACACACACACACATAAATAAATAAAATGGTCATATTTGGGAGATACAAATTTAAAAAAAAAAAAGTTTAATTTTTAATTTAAAATGAGAGCCAACAGGAAAGAAGAAAATGAACAGGAAGCTCTCATGTCAAGCATAATTTTGCCTTTAGTTTCTCATCACTGATTAATACTTAGCAGCTAAGTTTTCTTCTCATTACAAAGGAACTATACAAGACAATGTCAAAGCTTACCAAAAAAAATACAATTTAAGCCCCCTGAATTAACATGGAATTAAACAGTTGCTCCAACTGAATATGCTAGTGTCCTGTTTAAGAATCCTGTCAAAACAAAGGGCAATGGGTAGCTGGCTCCACAACTCTTAGCTGCATGACCTTGGTATTTTTTAGTCTCAGTCTGAGGAAAAGCATAAACATTAACTTCGTAGTTGACATAGTATTAAATGAGATACAGCTCCATTCTCTTAATTCAATGAATAGAGGATTGTTCTATTAGTGTTTGAGACAGATATCAGGTTACTAAGACAACAATATGCAATGTATTAATTATTGAAAATGCACTAGTAATTGGTTGTGAAACTGTCTCATTGCTATTTCTCAATAAAAAAAGAATTAAATGAGATAATGTATCAAGTACTTCTCATACAGTATGTGCTGAATAAACTTTATTGCCATTAAATTCCAATTTGACCATGTTACCTCCATGCTTTTGGAATTTTAAAAAGATTCTCCTACAGACTTTAACATAAAAACACAAGTTATGACAAGGTATAGAAAGTCTTTATTCAAGATTTGACTTATGTTTTTCTCACCATTGGACTCCAAAACCACCCTGTTCACCACTCACATGTATTATCTTACCTCTATTACAGTCTACAAATTATTTATAGACAGATATCCTAGTTATTGTTACACTCCTATTTTATTTGACACCTAGAAAAGATGAAAAGCAGTAAGTATGACTTTTTTTTAAATCCATTACTTACTTTACAGTGGGGATAATATTTGGCTGGGGTTTTAATAACCGCAAACGATACCACATACATCTTCCATATACTTTTCTGATATTCTTTAATCGAATTTGCTCTGTCAAGAAAAAAATAAGTTAGGTCATTTTTCAGAATGAAATTAAAACCAGAGCTATTATTATACTAATCATCATTACTATGTCAATCTCATACTAGAATACAAAATGATATTTATTTGAATAACCTCTAGAAAAATTCGTAAGATAGGTTAAATTTTCTATCATTTATAACAAATGCTCTATTTGGGGGACTTTATTTAACTATATTAGACTACCATTTTTCATGTGAGACTTCACTTCTCTTTGAATATACATAAAAACCCACTTGAACCCAAACTATTTAGTTACATAATCAGCACTTCTGAACAATTCTCTCTCATAAAAAAAATCAGGGCTGGGGAGATGGCTCAGTGGAATAAGCACTTCCCTGGCAAGTTTTTTTTTTTAGTTTTTAAAGAAGCTAAAGGCATAGTGGCACATTCCTGTAATCCCAGCACTCAGGAGGACACTGAGGCAGGAAGATCACCATGAGTCTGAGGCCAGCCTGGGCTACACAGACAGCTCAAGACCTGCTTGAACTACATAGCAGGACCACATCTCAAAACCCTACCACATAATAACAATAAGCTTCTCTTCTGGAGGGTTAACAACCTAAGTTTGCAGATCAAAATTAGTGAAAAAGGAGGGCCACAAGGAAAGCCAACATTTTGGCCCGAGCCTTCCAAGGTCAATTAAGACTCAGGACATATGAGAACTTGTACTGTAATGTCATGTAACTCAGTAGTGTCCCAAATTTTCTGATGAAGGAGATTATGGGGCCAAAGAGGAAAGTCATCAGTGATGTAGAGTGTGCCTAAGGAGAGTCACATGGAGAGAAAACATTCTCTCAGGCTTTCACAGACAGCACATTGGCCAAGCAATAGCCATGACTCATCCATATGGCTGACACCGACAAAGGATCTATAATCTGAGATACAGGATCTCATGAAAAATCCTGAGGGGATTTCACTGACCTTCTCAGATCCAAAAGCTACAACTCTTGTTGCATAGGTCTTGCATATTTATCTTGGTCTTAACCATCCAGCAGAAAAGTATAAAAACAAAGTATAAGAAGTAAAGCCATGCTGTTATGTTGAGCTGTCGGGGACTCAGGTCAACGTTTCTGACACTGCCAGTCAAGAGGAAGACCCAACACTATTATGGACTACTGGACTCTTTTAGAATATTTTGCTGAGTTAACACACCTATATATTCAAATGATGGAATTAAACAAAAAAGGGGATACAGATGAATGTCCATTTTGTATCTGTGTATTCAAAATGGTTAGGATAGCTATATAGTTACATTCTCTTAATGAATAGAGGGATTTGTTGTAATAGCGTTTGTAAATAGGATATCATGTCTGTATCTTGTACAGCAAATAACTACTAGGAAGAAAGTATGCAATGTGTTATTGAAACTGTCCTACCAATTTGATTTGAAACTGTCTCATTGCTATTTGTCTCTCAATAAAATTATGGAAAAAAGAACTCTACCACACATACACATACACATACACACACAAAGAAAAACACAGATTTTTAAATATGCATTTTAGCTAAGTGTGGTGGCACATGCCTGTAATCCCAGCACTCGGGAGGCTGAAGCAAGAGGATCACTAGGAGTTGAGGCCACCCTGGGTTACAAAATCAGTTCAATATCTAATAAAGTTTCATAAGAACAATGTTGAAGTCTATGAACTAGACATCTTGATCTATCAAAGGAATGATGTTCTTCTAACATCCCCAGGCAGATAGCAAATAGTTTTCAACAAGTGCAAACTTGCATAAATCTGTACTTGTTGTACCATGTGTACCAGTCTTCCAAGCTTGAAATTAAATCTTAACTCTTTAGTAGAATACATATATAAATCAATATTATAGGATGTGGCTTATATATTGTGATAGTATCATTTAGATTGCGAACACAACTAAATATGCATGGGACACATTCCAAATCTCTATATAAGACCTCACGTTAGAGTAAAAACCACGAAGTCTTTCTGGACAGTGTTGTTTGTTTGTTTTTTAAATGAAACATTTAGAAGTAGAAAAATAAATTCCCAAGTCATAAATCAAGTTTGCAATTTAAAAAACAATACAGGGGAGAAATAGTAGCATGCCTATATTTCTACCTACTTGGAAGACTGAGACTGGAGAATCCCAAATTCAAGACCCGCATGGGCAATTTAGTCAGACCCTGTCTCAAACTAAAAAGAGGCTGAGTTTAGCTCAGTGGTAGACTACTGATCTAATGTGGAAAGTCCTGTGTTCAATCCATAGTACCAAAAACATAATAAAATAGCACAAAGCTTGTATCATGACAATGATGTATTATGATTACTATGAGCAGCTGCACTTTTGTGAAGCCACAGACCCAGTCTAGGTCTGGGGAAGGTTACTATGGCTATACTTCGTAAATGATGCAGTATCCTTGCTACAGGTGACACTTATCCATATCAGCCATCTGCCAGGTTGTAATATAACTAAATAAATTCTTAGTACCATATTTATAGAATGCAAGAACACAAAAAAAAATAAACAAATGTTTCCCAGAAAAGTCTTCAAAATTGTTTGCCTGAGTATGACATAAGAAAAATCATGGACCTTCTTGCAGATTTCTCATCTGACATCTACAATTTTTCATTATAACTTAAGAGTTGAAAAGATGTAATTTCTCACATAAAGCTGTCATTTTAAAATAACATAGTTTCATCACTTTTCAATGAATCCAGTGAATTCTAAAGATGATAGCATTTTCTTACCTACATCGCCCACTTACAAAACTTGACAAACTATTCTAATTTCCTCACATAATTTTATCACAACACAATATATTTTTTATTCTGGTAAGTCATTTCTCATAATACCAAATATACTTCTTAAAATTATTTTAATTTCCTGCTATTACAAAGTTTTTCTTAACTCCATTTTAAGAATATTCAGGAAGGATGAAAGAATATTCAATAGGTAATACCCACCAAGTTCACTAACTGTTAGCACTTTATAGCTTTTGGTTAATTTTCTATTTCCTTTTTCTCCTTCTTAACTCAACTATTTTAGAGTAAGATGCAGAAATCAATACACTTCATCTCTGAATGCTTTGACAAATATTACCAAAGAACACTGGTGAATGAGTCTATCATACTAAAGTTTAACACCCATGAGGTTTTACATGTTAAATATTGTGGCACCATATTATATTTTTGGTGTTATCAAGATAACATAAGTATTACAATTAATAAAATATCAAAATAAATTATAAAATGTTTTGTTTTCCACTTATAAGAAACTAAACAATATCCTAAATTGTTAAAAACGTTTATCTTTTTTTTTTTTGGGGGGGGGGTTGCGGGGGGAACCGGGGATTGAACTCAGACCCTTGCGCTTGCCAGGGAGGCGCTTATTCTACTGAGCTATCTCCCCAGCCCAAAAACCTTTATTGTAAAAAAAAAAGGATGCAATTGAGAATATTGCTCAATGTTTGGTAAAACAGCTTTATCTTTAAAATATTTTGCCAAAATTTGAAGTTGTGATTACCTCACCAAATTTATAGGAAACAGAATTTTTTTTTTTTTTTTTTTCTTTTCAGAACCAGGGATTGAACTCAGACCCTCCACTGAGCTATCTCCCCGGTGGAAACAGAAATTTATAGGAAATATAGGTAATCTAATAATTGGCTAAAGCAATCCTCATTGTTAAACCACTCACAGAAATCAAGTTTTCAAAGGCTAACTAAGCCAGCATGGTGGTACACACCTGTAATCTCAGTACTCTGGAGGCTGAAGCAGGTAGACTGCCATGAGTTTGAGGCCAGCTAGCACTATAACGTGAGTTGAAAGCTAGCCTGAGCTACATAGTGAGGCCCTGTCTTTAAAAAACAAACAAACAAACAAAAACCTAATAGTCCTACTTCATTTTTTATTCTGCTGATACGTATTTTTATATTGCAATGACTATAAAAACCACTGAAAATATATTTTAAATATACTTTGATGTAGGTTACTAAACTAAAGAAAGCTGGACAATTCAGGGAATACAATTTCCTTTGTTAAGAAAAAACTGATTCATAAAACTATATCTAAATCTCTAAGGGGTCTGAGAAATAAGAATTCAGATTTTAAAATTTAGTATCAAAAAAAAGTAAGACACTGGCTTTCCAGCTACTGAATCCAGATGAACTGTGATTGGCAGCTTACCAACTGGATAATGTTATTCACATTTTTAAAAACAGAAAAATTAGTTTTACTGTAATAATGATTTATTTTTCAGAATGTTTAAATAGGAAAACCATGAAAATAATTTGGAAGTAAAATATTGAGAATCATTCTCTATGCCACCAAAAATATAATTTATCCAGTTATCCTACACACAAAATAGAAGAGAAACTAAAGGTTCTATTATGTTCCTGAAAGATCAGCTATGTCTATCAAGGCTAGTTCAGAACCATTTGGATTTGGGGAAGTCAGGCTTCATGAGACTAAATACCTCTTACCGTCATGATCACCAAGTGCATACAATCACAGATTACCCAATATGGAAGGACTACAGAAATCTGGGCCCATCCACTAACTTCCTCCTTCCTAAGCATACTCTGACAATGGTGATGGAAAGTCAGAAGTCAACTGAAAATGCTCTTCAATTGTAATTTTTTTTCTTTTGAGGGTCCTCCTATATATTGTAGAATGTTTAGCAGCATCGTGGTCTGTTTCATTAAGGTCAAAATTACAACCTCAGTGGAGACAAAGTTAGGAAGGAGAGTGGACCTCTAGACATTGCTACATGTTTCCTGGGAGACAAATCTGACTCTGATTTAATCAATCTCCTTCTCTCCTTCCTCCTCCTCCTTGCCTCTATTCTCAATTATAGAAGGCATTTCAAAAATCATGGTCACTTATATGACCTAAGATCAGTAACACAGGGAAAAAAAATGTCAGGAGAATAAACAGAGATAAAAAGACAAGAATTATCATTTTCCATTCCCCTATAACCATATCTCAGGGGGAAAAAAAGAATCATCG